CCAGATGGTCTCACTCACAGCAGGAATTTAGAAAACCTAACTAAGGAATCAAGAAAAAGACTAATTATAATAAAGTCAAAATCAAAATCAACAAGCAACTATAAACCAGAGACACACTATGGGGGGGAGGGGAAGGAGGGATTAGGGTCAAAATAAGGGGGGGTCAGAATTGTATGGGGAATATAACCAAGATGAAAATGCAAACACTGTGTGAAAATGAAAAATGTTGTAAAAAATATATAAAATTAAATTAAATTAAAAAAAATAAGATCAGGAATTTAGAAATGAATGTGCAAAAGGGGGTAAAACTGGCTTCCAGGGAGAAAGGAAGTCAATTCAACAGGACAAAATTTACATGTTGGAGACAAGACTTACTTTTTTTTTTTTTTAAGATTTATTTATGCATACAAGCACTGGGGTATAGGCCAGAGGTGTGGGGGGGTGAAAGGATTCACCAGAGACAGAGTAGGGAACAGAACAGGTAGAATGACTGAAATACACTACTGAGGGGAGCAGCAGGGTGAGACAGGAGAGGTCTGCTGAGCCATATGGGTAGCTCCCTGGCCAGGGATCGAACTCATGCTGCAGTGGCTGCGGATAGCTTCACAGGTTGCGTCTTAACCCCTTACACCACCAGGGAGGCCCGACAAGACTTATTTTTATTGCTATTGTAGATCAAAAACAAAGAAGATCAAAAACAATGAAAGACTTGGCTGGAAAAGAAGATCTAAACAACGCATAGTTCCCCACTGAAGTACAGTTTTTCTGTCTGTCAAAGCACTAGATCTGTCATTCAGCCAGCTTATTCAACCACAAAAGGCCATAGTAGATTCAAGTGTGAGTTCTTACAGATCAAAATTGTCAGGACTAGTTCATTAAAAAATCCCAATCCTGAGATTCCTATTGCTGAACTTTGGCAGCAAATAACTAAGTCCTGCTGGGAACAGGACTCCTACAATCTGACTGGAAAACCATGGTCCAAGGCCACTTTTGCTGGCTACAAATCAGGTCTCTGGAACCAGAGGGGTCACACATCACTTCTTAAATTTGAAGGTGTTTATGCTCCAGATGAAACTGAATTCCATCTAGGCAAGAGATGTGCTTATGCACACAAAGCAAAGAACAACATAATGACACTAGTGGCAAACCAAATAAAAGGAGTCATTTGTGAAAGGTTGATGCAGGAGGCCTGAATGCAAAAGCCCATCAGGAAGCCCACTTGGGGGCAGGAATGCGGAAGCCCGCCTAGAAAATTCAGACAATAAGCTTCTCCCCACCCTACAAATCTTTTCACGCCCTACAAACTCCCTCTGTCCCCCCCCCATGCAAGCCCAATCCCCACCTGACCTCTCCTCACCCTATAAAATCCTGCCTCTGGCTGGCAACGTTCATGACTTCACTAACCCCCACCTTGGGTCCTTGAGTCCCACCCAAAGGCGCAATAAGTTTTCCCCCACCATTGAGAAATTTAGCCTGGTTCTTTTCTTTACCGTGCTGAGCAATTCAATCTGGGAAAGGTAACTGGTGCCCATGGAAACAGTGGCATATTCTGAGGCAAATTCCAAAGCAACCTTCCTGCTAATAGGACGTTCTGTGCCACAGGACACAGAATTCACATGATGGTGTACCCCTTGAGGATTTAAACATATAGAAAAGCCAATAAATAAAAGTGGATTTGTCCTCTAAAAAAACCCTAATCTTTTTTGCACATCCAGTCGTGAGTTTGGCAGCATCCAATCTAGCAGATAGAAAGGGCTGTACAAAGTGAGAGGGATTTTTATAGTGAGCAAGAACAAGGAAGTACTACTGGGCATTTGCTGATTGGCTAAACTGTAACAGGGTGGTCCCCAGGAAAGGGGGAGGTTCCAGGTTCCCTGCCCCACCCAAATGGAGGGTGGAGCTGAGCAGGAAGAGAAGAGGCTGCAGAGGAGACTGAGGAAGGAAGGAAACAGGATGGAGAGCCAGAAGGAGACCTGGAGGAGGCACATGGAGCCTAGAGACACGTGAAGAAACTGCGCTTGACTTTTGGTCATGGACTGGGTGACACAGATGTGGGTGAGACCCATGGGGAGGTGACAATGGCAGCTTTTATCTTTATTTTGATTTTGCTCTTTTCTTTCCAGGCTTGTCTGGTTGTTTCTGACCCTTTTCTGTTGGTCCCCACTGGAAAATGCTTTAGACTTGTGGCAGGCTTTGGGGCCTTGCTCTGGGCCAATCCCATTTGGATGGAGTTTTACCCACGAGGGGACGGGTAACTTTGGGTGCTTGATGTAGAAACTAGATTCTTTGCCTTTCCTGTATTGTTTCCTAATTGTATTAAAGTTCTTTCCCATTAAAGTCTCATGTTTTGTGTTAATGCGGTGGATGGCAGAACCCTACATAGAATAGGCAGGTTTGCGGGGTTTGGGCTGCCCCTCTCCCTGCCCTGTAACAAAAACAGGGTTACTTTCCTTATATGGAGCAAAGGGGAATCATGGAGCTAGTTTGGCAACTTGTGCTGGACAGGCAAGCACTGATTGGTTGACCTAGACCTTCCTTTTCTGGGAGAGATGAGCATAGGAAGTTAATTAAGATTTTATTTTCTGAGTCTGGGCTTAGCATGAGTGACTTGAGCTTGGGCTTCATCTGGTTACTTTAACACTGCCCTTGCAGCAATATTTACAAATGATATTGGTCTATATACATTTCCTTTTAGAGATCATGAATTGCTGAATAAAAACTTACTAGATCAATAAACTTTCTGTGGAAAATTTTCTTTTAACAGCACCAACCACACATGAAAATAATAATAGATGAAATAAAAGAAATAAAAGAACAGCCCAACATGGGCAAATATTTTAATAAAATCCATCATATTAATGAGACAAAAGATTTTTAAAAACCATACACAATCATTTCCATAAAGGAGAAAAAAATGAAAAGCAGTCACATACTCAATAATCTGAAACTTGAATAAGATGTCTTAGCAATGCAATTCATTTTAGGATAATATATAGCTTAGTGAAATTAAAAAGAACTGTCAAGAAGAGGGTTATGATGCAATATAAATGATGTTTAAAATTGACATTAATCTATTTTAAATAAAAAAGGATAATTTAGACAGGTTATGAATTTTTTAAAATATGAAAAGATTTACTATGCTGTGTGCTTGACTGTATTATGTACTTGCTCCAAATAAGCCTTAAAGGCAGCAAGACATTACTGTTGCTGGTTTCCGTCTCCTTGTCACACAGTACTATAACGGCTCTTACCAGTTCATCCTTTCAACTGGCTTGTTTATAGTTTCCTTTGGCTTTAGGGATTGGAGGGACTGAAGTGTATGTGATGCTTTTTTTTTTTCTGGTAAATTGTAAGTAGGCATACCAAACAGAAACCTTCCATACAATTGAAGAATGATATAAAAATATGAGAAAAAGAAAGAAAATCCATCCATCAGATCTCTGCCCAAGTCGTTCCCTTACATTTTAACCTATAACAGTAACTCTAAAAAATTTGTGTTTAGTATCAATTTACAACCATTATTTCATTTAATCTTCATATACACAAAATTTATAAAGTATGTGATACCTTATTCCTATTTCAAAGCTGAGGGATACTTTGCTTAAGGTCATGTATCTAGTAAATGAACTTTCAGGAATTCTTAGCATTGCATACTCTTCTCCTGTGAAAGGTACTCAGCTCATAGTTCTAAGAATTAAATGTGCTAAGTCATGTTTGTTTCCTTAGCCCACTCCCAGCCGTATAGTAAGCCGCCACAAAGTGATAGCATTAGCATTAATAAATCATTAATAAGAATATTTACTTGTGAATATCTTATGGCCCCAAGCAGAGGTTTTTCAATTATTCTGTCTAGCCAGTGTATTTCCATTTCATATGATACACAGGTGAGAATACCTTCAGTCCCATAATTCCTTAAGTCAGTAAAGGGTTAATAATAGGAAGACAGGGGCACTTACAATTCAAACAATTTTAGTTCACTAGTTAGTGAAGTTGTGGGTAAGGATGATGTGGTAATAAAGGAACCAGGTAATGGGGCCATCCTAGTTGCTGGACAATGTACTAGTCAGGAGTCCATGAGTGGCAGTATGTTGGGATGGTCTCAGCATTTGCAGCCCAAATGCCAGATCTAGTTAGTAGCACAGAATTATTCAAACTCTTGGAAATTATTAAAATGAATCAACTAACTAAATGACTAATCCTGAAATCATACTGTCCTTTATATATGCGTAATTAGAGACATGCCTCTCGTAGAGTGGGATATTCCAACTCTTACTACATTGGCAAGAACTTACTCTTGCTCCCAAGCTGTTCACTGAAAATCACTTTCTAACCACAGTTCTTCCTCCCTGAATCTCACTGACATCTATTACCTGCTTTACTTAGCATTTATCACTAAGATTACCTCATTTCAAACTTTTTGATTTTGTACCTTCTTATACAAGAATGACAGATTCTTGGCTATTTGTTCACGGCCATATCCCCAGTTTCTAGAACAGAGCTTAACACAGACAAGGAAGATGTTTGAATTAGTGAATGTAATCATGGGCTTTAAATCCAAATTAGACAAAAGTTGATTTAAGCTATTTTTCCTCAACAGAATAGTTAGGTTATAATTGTACTCTGTTTCTGAGCCAGTTTATGTTCTCATGAATTCTTTCTTTATAAACAATTAGGTTTAAGCTGAGTTACAGAGTAAGTAGTTTCACATTAATCATTCATTAAAAAGAAAGCATGAGAGATAGGGGAGGGTCAACTATGCAATAGGGTATAGAATTAATTATTTCCTTATTCTATTAACACATCTATTGCTTCAGCTCTTATGTGCCCAGTTTCTTTAGATATCAGACAAGAGGGGTTCTGTAGTCTCCTTACTCAGTAATTAAGAAATAAAAAGCATATTTTGGTAGCTTTTCTAGTCAAAGAAATATGCCCTTGAATGAAAACAGCTCCATGCAGTTGCTATGTCAAAAGAAACAATCTTTGTGAAGTTGAGCTTTTACCTTAACTTCAAAGCAGGTACTCGTGCAAGATGGTGGAAGCTCTGCCCAGGAGCAGCTAAGACAGTCTTGGGAAGCCCAGGAACACTTCACAGAGGAGGCAGTACGAACACTGAGACCCAAAGGATCGTTGGGAATAAGACTGAAGAAGGGAGGGAACATTTTTGAAGCAAACAGAACAAGCATGAAGTCCCAAAAACAAGAAAGAGTTGGGTCTGCTTGAAAAATCAAAAGAAGGTTCATCTGATATGCCCTTAGATTTGGACAAGAGATTTATTTCATGTTTCTCAGCTTAAGTCCTATTCCAATATATGGTTGGAAACACTCCCTCTGCCTACTGGTTGCTTTTTTTTTTTTTTTTTTTAGGACCTCTTAGTATATCTGGATCCTGTTGTTTATCTTCTCATCACTTAATCTTTCTTGTATTCCTCCCCTCTCAATTTTATTGTGTTCCTGTGTCTATCCTTATTATTTTTTACTAGCTCTATTTTTAGTAGTCTCCATTTTTAATTGATAGTGAATGAAAATATACTATAGGTAATGCTTTAAAAATGTAAAATAAAACTTCAGACACCCTTGCTTTAAGACGGGAAGCAAATCACCTTCAGGTGTTTTGTTTCATAGTACACAGAGTACATGTTAGATGGATGACGTTTTTGGAATAATCAGTTTGGCAGTGGAACCTCAGCTGTGCCACTTACCGATGGAATGACAGTGGACATTTTACTTAAGTTAAACTACAGTTTCTTCTACCATAAAATGATTAACAGAATCTACCCGGGGTGGGGGTGGAGAAAAGTCTTATCTATTGTTATTTAGCTCTCAGGATTAAAATTTCTAATTTAGTGGTGATTTTTAGTAACTAACTTTAACTTTCTGGCCTCAACATCCTTACCCCAGGGAGGTTTTAAAAAGGCAATAGATTATCATTGAGGTTATAAAGAAGCATTCAATGGGAGAAACTAATTTCTAATAGAATGTGGGACGGAAGCACTATTGGAGTGACCTGTCCTAACAGACCTAGGTTTGCGGAAATGGATAAAAGAGAGACCCTCAAGCAACACAATGGATATTATCTATCAGAGCAGGGAGTTCTTAGAGCCTTCACAATGAGCCTCACGCAGGGACCGGTTGGATCCACTTCCAGCCACGAGTGGGTACAGTGGGTCAGGGAAGATCCATCCGGGAACTCAGCAAGATGAGCCCAAACGGCGGCGGCCGTTGCACGCAGCGCCCGTGGGCACATCCGGTGGAGCCGGAAGTTGTCCGCTCCGTGGCTGCTGGCGGAGGTTATTCCCTTGTTCCTAGAAATTGAATGAAATGGAGGCTCTCAAGTTTCTGGTCTCAAATGAATGATTTAGCGGGCAGGACTAATTTGGTCCCGAAAGACCTAGAAGGCTCGTACTGCAGGGTAAAAAAACCTCTTCTATAAAATGAATTTTTTTTTAAAAATTAAAAAATAAAAACATTTAAAAAAGAAGGAGAGGGAGAGGGAAGAGGGGAGAAGGAAGAGGGGAGAGGGGGCGGGGGGAGAGGGAGAGGTTAAATAAAACATTCACGGCTACCCAGGTAAAGAGATGATCTAGAATTTTATGAAACAAATATTTGCTGGGTAGTGTTCTAGATGCTTTATATAATCTCCTAAATAAACTTTTGAAGAGGGTGTTAAAAAAAGCCTCTTTTCCTCTTTCTAGGTTCAAGGACTAGAAGTAGACAATTTCAGTAAAGCCCTTTACTTTTTGAAATTGTGGTTAAAGGGAAGGAAATTGTTAAAGAAAATCTAAGATGTATATGAAGCCACCATTTTCACTGTGGCACTGATTTCAGCCTCTCATGAGATCTAATTGCTTAGGAGAGTTATAGCAGTACAAACTGTGATCTGAAGTTACACAGATTTGGGCTTAAACCCTGGCTATGACTTGCTTCTGCTGTGATTTTAGTAAGTTATGTCAGTTCTCTAAACTTCATATTTTTATCTCTGAAATGTGGGAATTGGGCCTCCCCAGTGGTGCAGCGGGTTGCGCGCAGCGCTGCGAAGCTGCCCGCAGACTCTGCAACGCCGGTTCAATCCCCAGCCACCGGCGAGGGTCCCACATGGCGTGCAGACCTCTCCTGCCGCCCGCTGCTCTCTCAGTGGTGTACTTCCGTCAGTCTGCCTGTACTGTTCCCTGCTCTGGCTCTGGTGAGTTCTCTCACCTTCCTGCGCTTCTGACTGTACCCAGTGTATGTATAAATAAATAAATAAAATATTTAAAAAAGAAAAAATAAATCTTTAAAAAAATTTTTTAATTGCACTTGATTTAGAGTTACTATATAAATTATATACATCATATAAGACTGAGTCTTGTGCATAAGAGTTCAATTTACACTTGCCTTTTGACATTATGTGAATTAATGAAAACTCCTGCCTATTTTGCTTCATCTTGTCCTAGTGGCCTGTGTCACTCTCTTGGCAAAGCAACTAGGCCAAAATAAAGATTTATTGCAGTTTTAAAACTCTTTATTTTAGGACAGTTTAAGGTAGCTCACATTGCCTGCTTAAAGGTAGATTTTCACCATAGTTAGGGTCTTTAGTTTCATGAAAGGATTCCTAAAGGAAGATGAGAAGAGAGAACCGATATTCAAGCAGGTGAGAAAACCTTGCAGTGAGGTGGAGCTTGGCAGGTGAGGAGAACTAAAGTTAGCTTTGTTTGAACTGAGATAGTGATGAGGGGATGGAGACAAGTATAACCAAAGAAGAAAGCAGGACAAGATCTTATACAATTGTGTAAGGCCTGTTAAAGTGTTGTCATTCAAATTATCCCTCCCAATCATGTATTTATAATGTATAAATGAAATTAATATTAGGATATGTGCAAAATGGATTGGTGAATTACAGCTATCCTATATAACAGGGGTTATCCTTTCTGTAGACTATCAAATAAAGTGACATCTCTCTTCCTCACATGATGTGACATGAATGAATGAATGAATGTTTTTCTTTATGTGGTTGATTATGGATCATTAGGGAATCCACTTAGAGAAGACCAAGGAGGTATACCTGAATAAAAGCCCAGTCTAGAGGTGCTATTGTTAGGGGGAAAGGATGTCCTGAGTTAATTCCATACAGGCTTTGTGGACCCCACCCCCACTCCAGACCAAAGTCATCAAGACATTGGGAAAGACAAATCCCATCACCACCAAAGGGAAGGTGGCTGGGACCTGAGGGTGGAGTTAAGCAGCCAGGTTTGGTATAAAAACCAGACACGTGGGCCTTGGAGTCTCTCTTGCTTGCCTCCTGGCTTCACGGCTGGTGGCTCGCGGCCAGCTCTTAGAGCGCCATTTGGGATTCCAGATCGGCGGATCGGGTAGGACACATTTAAAATTTTATCTCCCCCTTTTCTCCCTGAGTGGTACATTTCCTCATTTGCCCTTCCCTTGTAAATAAACCTTTTATTAACCTTTTGTGTGTGCCTGGAGTAGAGTATTGATAAGTCCCTTTAAGCGTGTGGGTGAGGACCCCCAGTCAGGCACCCCGTTTTGTATGGGGGCTGCCCTGTAACACTATCACCAATTCATCTTCATTCAGAATGGTCTCAAGGACAGATTCCTAATGCTCCCCCGGAGAAAGAGGAGAGGTAAAGGGAAATCTGTTCTTTCTTCTCCAGAGAAACATTTCATTGTTTTACTTCAGGCATTGGCAGCAAGTTCTAAACAACTGTGATTGCCTAAGAATGTGAGCCAAAAAAACCCAAAACATTGCTGAATAAAAACAGTCCAGGAGTGGGGTTTCTACATAGAGTCCTACAACCTGGGGTGAAATCTCAATTCCCAATTAAATTATTTGACTATATCACCTTAACTCCATAAAATTCATAGTATCTGGATTGTGAAGTTGTTGGGAAGAATAAATAAAATGTATCGTAGAGAGCTCTGCCCTCACTGCATGGCATGTGTAAGACCACAGTAAGTCTGCTATGTTTACTAGTATTTTGTATCTTTTACTCTTGTGCATTTTTGTAAGCATGCCATCCTTTGTATTTTGCAACTTTGCTAAAGTGAGTGTTATAGAATCAGAAAGTTGTGCTTAGTAAATTTGCCTGGCATTCACTTCAGTTCTCTGTTCATTCATCTCTTAAAGGTTGTACTTCATCTATAGGATTGCCATACATAACATACCACAGGTTAGGTGACTTAAACAACATAAATTAATTTTCACACAGTTTTAAATGCTAGAAGTCTAAGATCAAAGGATAAATAGAGTTAGTGTCTTCTGAGATCTTTCTCCTTGATTTGCAGATAGCTGCCTTATTACTATGTTTTTACATGGGCTTCCTTTATGTGTAAATGTCTGTGTCCTAATTTCTTAGAAGACACCAGTCATGTTGGATTCGGGCCCATCCATAAGACCTCACTTTACCTTAACTACCTTTTTAAAGACCCTGTCTCCAAATATAGTCACATTCTGAGGGTTAGGACTTCAACATAAGAATTTTGGATGGGGGGTGGGGCATGGGGGCGTGGTGGTTATTTTTCAGCCCATAGCAACATTACTTTTTTAAAGCCTATCTTTATGGAAAACCAAAAATAGTAAAAAAAAAAATCATACAATAGATCCCATATACTCATCATTTAGCTTCATTAATGAGCAATTCTTTGCCAGTCCCCTTGCATTCATGTGGACACCCTTCTTCTTCCTTCTGTACATTTTAGAAACAAATCCTCAACCTAATTCCATCTGCAAACATTTCAGCCCTGTTCTCCAAAGTATAAAATATAACCACACCACCATTTTATCACATGTAAAAAATTTATTCTTAAATATCAAATATCTAGTCTCAAATTTCCTGTCATCTCACAAATTATTTAAATGAGACTTCAAAAAAAAAGTCCATATGGCGAGAAGGGGCGGAGCAACATGGCGGCAAGGAGACGCTGCGAGTAAGATCTCCCATTAAAAAAAGTGAATAGGGAGGAAAAGCGGCAGGTCCCAGTGAGAACTGGGACACGGAAGATAAACGGGTGACTCCAGCAAACTACCCGAAGAAGAAAGTTGCCATAAAAGAGGACTAGAAGGGAGGAAAGCGCAGAACCCTGCTCCCCTCCCCCACCCACAGAGTCGGCACTCTCCGACCCGCAGAGAGGAGGAAAAAACAAACTAAAAGGACCAACAAGAACAAACTACGCAGCAAGCGGGACTGTGAGTGGAAAGGAACTATTGCAGCCACCACACCCCGTGAACAGGAGCTGTGGAGAACCCTGCAGGATTCGCCGCGGCAGTGAGCGAACGGCTCCTGGCGCCATTAGAGAACAACAGACTCGAGACCCGCACTCAGCCCCGGGCCGGCCGGTAAGCTCGCGCAGAAAAGCGGCGCTTGAAAAGCAAAGGCGGATCGGGATCGCGGCTGCCCAGGTCCCCGCGCCTGCAACCTAGGCTTGCGGGGAGACGCGCGGAGGCCCTCACTGAGGTGAAAGTCCCTCACTGAGTAAGCAGGAACCAGGCGCCCAGGCACGGGAGCGGGTGCAAAAGGCGCCATTCCCGCGCCACTGAACTGGGGTACAGCCCGTGTCCTGGACCTGAGGGCTTTGGAACTGAGACCCAGGGCACGAAATTCGGGGCGTGGGTTCTCCACGACGGTGGGGCACAAGGCAGACACAGCACCCCAAAGCCGTTGAGGTGTACCCTACCATTCTCGCTCTGTTCCCTGTCCCACGGGGGGGGTTGAAAAACAGCCCCCCAAGAACAATAGGAGAGATCTCTGGCGCCACCTAGCGACCAGAAAAAAAGTCACTTACACCCCATAGAACAGGGAAATTTTTTAAGAAAAGACTTCTTGAAAAGGGCAGAAGGCTTCTGGAGGACCCAGTGGCGAGCTGGGAAGTTAGCCCACGCCAGGAACCTTCCGACCAGCAGTCTGAGCCCACAGAGGGAGCGGGCACCCACGTCCGGGGCAGACCGGGCACGCAGAAGAGTGTGCCTGAGACCGGATGCACAGGGACTGCGTCCCGCTTTGCCATTTTAGAACAGGGACATTTCTTCAGTAAAGACTGCCTAAAACCAGCAGAAAGCTCCCCCAGAAGCCAGAGATGGTTCCTGGAAGAGCCAGAGGGGAGCGGAGAAGTTCACCCAAGATGCCGGCCAGTCCAAGCAACACAGTGTCCCAATGCATACAACAAATTAGAAAACAGACAGTAGGGAGTAGAAGAACAACACGCAACCTAACAACTCCTCAGGAAAGAAGCACACCACAAAAAGAAAACCAC